TGCCACCCCCCTGGAGGAGTCAGGGTGGTCTGGGATTGGGCGAGAGGGACAACAAGCTTCTTTCATGCGCACACGTGCACTGAACACGTCGCTGACGTTACTCCAAAAATGAACAAGGGTGTTTTAGGCTTCAGCTGATCAATGTGCCATGTCATTAAAACGGGGCAAGCGCCAGGGTTTTAATGAGTCTAGCTTGGTAAGCAGGACCAATTATAGAGAGCATTCTCCCAGCCTTTTTCCCATCGTTTCGCTTGTGTCAGATGTGGACTCATAAAGACAGGAGTGGCCTTTCATTCCAGAACCTCCTCAGGATCCTGATGCTTTCCGCCCCTCGTTCCCGTGACGGCATACCCACACGATAATGTTGACCTGCAGTTCACATTTAAATATGATCTCCACTCCGTCTGGCTTTTCTAACTCCGCTCTCTCTGTCTCTCTCTCTCACCGTTCACTTACCCTTTTCGTCATTGTGGTTGGCATAGCAACAGCAGTTAGGCTAGTTAGGGATGACAGTTAGGTCTCACCCCCACATCCCAGATGGACACAAACATACAACCACTCACATCTCCACAGCAGCAGCTTTTATACCATAAACCTTGGTAGTTTTATTTTAATGCATTTAGGAATGTGGCTACACCCTCTCTTAGACATGTCAGTCAAACCCTCTGGCTCCTCCCCCTCCTTTTTCTCAGAGAGCAGTAATCGAATGCCTCCACTGGTGATTTAAATGCATTGCAGTGCTATCATTCAAGTAATCAAGACACCTGCTGACCGCTCTTTCTTTTCACATTGTGAGTCTGGTTCATTTCAGTGGGTGTTTGTGAAACAAAACCAGATCCCCTCTTTTATATGTGCGTTTGTTGTGTGTGAGTATGTATTTGACCGTCTGTCCTCAGGTTTGTTGTCAGATTTAGATTCAAATGTTCTTTCTTTCTGTCTCTCTACCTCCCTCATGCTACCTTATGCTACCATGTGGCATTTTAACTGTCTCTTTCTGTCCTCTTTTGTCAGTTTCTAACTCGCCATCACTCTTGAATATTCCGGCCCCCATGAACAGCCTGCATTGGTTTGCTATCATTTGCACTCAGCTTGCACTTATAGGGAATGGCGGTTCCACACCTGATCCACCGTATCTCTGAATCCCGTCTGGGTTTTCACTCAGACCTTCAGTTTCAGTCACATTCTCATTCTCTCACCAACACACTCGCTCTTTATGGGCCTCTAAATCCAAGAAACAAGTGTTTGGACATGCATGGAGATGATCAGAATTGTTTGATGCATGCTCGTGTTTACATAATCACTATGAGTGCAGATAACCGTTCAGGCCCAGAATGCATTGGGGTGGGTGTGAAACAGTCATACTAGTCTGAAGAGTCACCGTGTTCCAATTTACTGAATCCCGATCCGGTTTTTAGTTCCGGATCCGAGGGATTGAGTTGCAGTTTCTTGTTGTGTTCTGCTAGTTCTCTTCCTGTGTTCCTTTTGGATGGTGACTCTAACTAACACTTCAGTGAAAAATATCCGTCCTTTTTGTGTTTTGTTTGATTTTTTTTTTGTTTGTTTTGTTTTTGTGGTCTGCATTTCAGTAGTTTGAGTTCAAAAGGCTTAGCTGCAGTTCCTCTAAAATGTGATGAATCATGTGATTTCGTTGGTCCTGACCGAGTGTGCCAAACTTTTTTGTGAAGGCATGACCTTCGCTATAACTGTGCTTACTGTGTTGAAGAAAAAAAGCAAAGAATGAAAGATGAAGAAAAAAAAAAAACCTTACCATTTGTGGTTTTTGTCAAAAATGACCTTGCAGTAAAAGATCTTGAGATTCTGAATTCGCTCCTGTCGTGTGTGGTTGACTACGCCCTGAATATTATTGGTGCTGACTGATTTCTGACTTTTGTTTTCCGCTAATGTTCGAATCCATGCAAAACCTCTTGTTCTCGCTGTGCCTCAGTCGTAGACCAACACCAGATTGCCTCCATGCATGTTTACAGGTGAATGCATATACACGCACGTAGACAGTAGTTTGTCCCTAAGGCCGTCTCAGCTCTGCTGTCCTTGAAGGGCTGGAATCTCATTCCCACTGATCTGAAACCCCCCAGATCAGGTCTGCTGTTGTTTACGGATGCACTTTTGTGTATCATGTGTAGGTAATTAGGCTTATTTTCTAACCTATGACCTGAGGTAACCCCCCAAAAAAAGATCCAGCAGCTGTCAGAAAGAACAAATGATTAATGTCTGTGTAGTTTTCCAAGCAGTTTTGGGTCACAAGCATTTGCAAGCCATTCGTTGTTTTTCGTTTTTTGGTTTCTCAGTGAATGTACAGTAATTAATCGCAATCCTAAAAGGATAGTTCACCTAAAAATGAAAATGATTTACTCTCCCTCGTGTCGTTTCAAACCTGTGACTTCCTTTATCTTTGAAGCATAAAAGATATTTTTGTCCATGCAATGGAAGTCAATGGTAACCAAAACCGTTTTGTTACCAACATTCTTCAAAATATCTTATTTTTGTGCAAACGAGTCATACTTTTTTGGAATGACATGAAGGTGAGTGAATAATCACAGAATTTTCATTTTTGGGTGAACTATGCCTTTAACATCTAGTCCTAGAGCCCCGTTCACAGGCAAACCCTGCTGTGTTTTCATTTCCAGATGATCCAGCAGGAACATTCCGGTTCTGGAACTCATCTCGCCTACTTATGACATCAGAGCGGCTGTCCATTCGGTTTCGTCCCTATAGTTCAGTCTGCATTGGCTAACGTTAAGCACCGTTGGGTCCTTTCAGAGACCATTCGGAGCACCCACACCCAAAAACAATGACATCTGGGTTGGGAATGCTCACTTTAAATCTCTCAAGGTTTACACATTGTTACAGCATGATGGTTTGGAGTATTCTTCCAATTCGTTTTTTGTTTTTGTTTGTTTTTTGGAGCTCACAACGGCTCCACAATGAGCTCAGCTGCAGGTGCGAGTGTCTCTCGTGGATCTGGAATTGTGCGACTGGGAGCCAGAGAGAGGCTCGTGTCGAGCCAAGCTGCTTCCTTCCTCAGTCTCTCAATCCAATAGCTTTACCAGAACAGGAAACGCCCCTCAGGTTTGCAGAGTGCAGAATTCCTGCTGCAAATGCAGCCTTAACCAGCGCTAAATCACATCACGCCTAGACTTTGTTTACAATATTAGATACACAAACGTAGTGCAATTTGGTGTGCCTACGGTGAAATGTATTTATTACTTTATGCATCAGTGAAACCACTAATGAAATGAAGCTTTGAAAGGCTTTTAGCTCTGAATTTATACAGCAGATGTATTTGCCTTCTCTTTGTCTGGCACATATGAGAAACAGTGAGTCATTGTGGACTGTTTCCCACACATACTCAGCGTAACAGGTCTATCTTTGTCTTGCAAATCTATTCTGCACACATCACACTGTCTTGATGCACTTTTTATGTACATTCGGATGCATACTTGCGCTAATAAAGATGCATGGTGACTTTGGAGACGTTTCAGAAAGATCTCGAATCAGGAAAGGCTCCGTTTGCACTCTGTAAGTTACTGTTCCAACTTTCCTGCTTGGCTTTTTGACTGAAGAGCCAATCAGAGGCACCAGCTTGCGTTCCTGTTCACTGATTGGTTCTAAATTCAAACCCCGCCCCTATCCGTCAGCATTAATGCTCCTTCCCCCTCCACACACGTCAGAGAAGCACCATGGGTTGTTTGTTTCTTGAAACCCTCCATCAAATCTTTCTTCATTTAATTTTGAGAATCTGAAGTGCTGCTGTTTCTGTGCTTGACTCTGGGTTGGTTGGACTGCGTGTGGTCATGAGGACCGTAGAGTTCATAACGCTTCTGTGTGTGATGTGACCATTTTGCCTTACATGTTTTCCAGGACTAATTAAAGAGCATAACTAAAAGAGGTGTTTACAGAGTCGTTATTAAACATGCTTCAGCCGTACATGCCTATAGAGAGATACACATCATTTAGGTTTATTGAAGGGAATTTAATTTCAATCTGAACTGAGGTAATGTCAAAAGAGTAGCATGATCTGATCTGATCTGATCTGTTTTCCACATGTTTTTAACAAGCCAGTGTTCCGTCCTTCACAACACATGTTCTCACTGGGATATCAGTTTAATATTTGTTTTCCAGTGTGATATTACATTAAGTGTCGAGGGTGAAAAAACGCAAGATATGTTATACACAGCAAATATTTTTTTTCATAGTATGTTTGCCTAGCCTTTCACTATAAATATCTAAAAATTCTAAAAAAGAGACATTTTGACACGAAAACAATTGATGTTTGTTTAACAAAAAAAAAAAATATATATATATATATATTCATTCCTGTTTACTGATGTGGTAAGAACTACTTGTTTTCCATCTAAATTAAGTTTTTTCTTACTCTGTTGTCACAAGTGTGCTAGAAACAAGACAAAGATACTGAATTATATATCTATATCTCTGAACTGTAGTAACATAAACGCAGTAAATAATTCAGTTAATTCAAAAAGGAAATTCTGGAAATATCAGGGAATTTTAGGCCAGGAAATGTAATGGAAATTTCCTTACTCAATACTATTCTTCTCAAGACTCTTCTCAAACTGCAATAAATTGATTTTGTTTTGAATCTTGTTTTTTTTCATCTTTATCTAGGTCATGAAATTTCATTTGAAACCAAGTCATAAAATCAAATCATTTTAGTAATTAAGCAGCTGCAAAGAAAAACATCCCTTATACATGTTAAAAAACATCTGATACCACATTCAGGAAACATCTTAACTCTTCAAAACCGGTTGTATTTCACATTAGTAAGATGTCATCTATATGTACAAGTTATTTTAGGTGTGTCAGGTTTTTCTTGCAGTTGAACTTAATTGTTGCACTAATTAATACTATTCAGTAATATAATACAATAAACATTAAATGTATCCAGAAATGGATTGCTGTGACTCACAAAAGAAATGACGTGAGTTTTCAGTCGATGTCTAAATCTAGAAGCAACTTTCCTCTAGAAAACAACATGGTGTCTGTAACACTGTGCTCAAAATCAAGGTTCAAAGCACTCTAATGTTATCTGCAGAGGTTCTTCTAGTGCCAGTTCCTGTCATGACCATGATACCCAGTTGTCTCTTTCGGTGTCCGGCACCATGACTGTGCCCATGTGAATTACCTCTGTGTCCACTACTTATATGCCGGTGTGTTTCATGCCCTCTTTTAGCATGTGAGCCCCGGGCCTGTCCGCTCCCGTGTCTGTGTCTATGCCCAGTGCCATGAGCCCTCTTATTACTTTGTCCCCTCCCATGTCCAGTTGTTTTGTCTTTACTCCTGTGCTCTCGTTTCTCTAGAGTCGTACTGGACTCTAGTGTTTTCGTCTTCTGAGGTGCCATTGAAAACGCTTCATGTCCTGGGTGGGCTTCATTAAGACACAGTGGGCAGATGAACCGTTTGTCTGTCCGACAAGAAAACTCCAGTAGCCTGTTGTGACGCAAGCAAATGTTTCCTTTAGGTTCCCCGCTTACAACAATAACTGTGCGCTTTTCTCTGGGATAGTCATTGTTCTGATATCTCAGGTGGGCCCTGCAGCACAAATCCTTAATTTCTGGACACATCTTGAAATTTTGGGAGTTTTTTGCAGTGCAGATTTCTCTTTCCGTGTGTCCAGCTCCATCATAACGTGTAGGTGGAGAATCCTGAAGGCCTGTGTTTTTAAACCGCTCCACCACTTCTGCAAACATTGTGTTTTTGTTGAGGACCGGTCGAGGCGAGAAGGTCTTCCTGCACTGAGGGCAACTGTAACCCGTGTCTTTGCTGCCATTTTTATCCCAGTAGTCTTTAACACAGCTCATGCAGTAGTTGTGTCCACAGGGAATCGTCACTGGATCCTGGAGTGCGTCCAGACAGATGGGACAGTTAAATGGATTGAGGTCTTCAAAACACTCCTCTGCCATTTCACACACTTTGCTGAACTAATAATTAGCTGTTATAAATTCAGTGTTCTCTCTCTCTACACATCGTAAGCTCTGTAATCATGTTCCATACGGAGCAAGTGAGTGCAAGAGAAAGAAAAAGAAACAGATATGTGTTTGAGTACAGTAACCAGTTTGACAGGTTCAACCCTGTCCACAAAGTATTTTTTGCATTGCTTTTCCCTGAGAAAATACACTTACAGCCGAAACATTTGACATACCTATTATTTTTTTCTCACCCACATTTTAGAATGAAGTGATTTTCCTTTTTTTTTATTTATTTTTTTATAAAAATGTTGAGGAAACAAAATCAAAACTAACTTGTTTTTGAGCTTCTTAACAGTTGTCACCCTTGTTCTTGTGCTTGCCACTTAATGTATAGTATAACATAATAATAATAATAATAATAATAATAATAATAATAATATATATATATTATATATGCATGGATATGCACACACAACAACAAAAATGTTAAAGATAAGCCTCATTAAATGTTTTTTAAGACTATTGTTCAAAAGTTTGGCATCAGTAAGGTTTTGAAAAGGTTTTTGAAAGAAATGTCTTGTTTACCACGGCTGCTTTTATTTGGTCAAAAATAATTAAAACAGTAATATTGATATATTAAAAATGAATGTATTTTAAAATGTTATTCATTCCTGTGGTGGCGAAGCTGAATTTTCAGCATCATTACTCCAGTCTTCAGTGTCACATGAGCCTTCAGAAATCATTATGATATGCTGATTTGATGTTCAAGAAACATTTCTTACTATTATCATCCATATATTCTCACTATTAACTAGTTGCTTACAAGTAAAATTACAGTTAAGTTGCAAACATATTTCAGTTTTACACTATAATCGAGTGCATAGTGTATATTTACATACAATCAAGAAGAATTTATAAAAACAATGTAGCTATATCTTTAAACCATTAAAATCTTCAATTTATGGTAACAATATCAAACAGCATGTGACAAATTACCATCAGTTCTTCACAAATAACGTTATCCACTATATTAACCATACACAACTACAGGCCTTGGAGAAAGTTCTTGTTTTGTAATGCCAGCAGCTGCTGATGCAGGCCATGCAGAAACTCTGTCATCAGGGAATCGTTGCAGGACCGCCAAGTTGCTCTTGGAGCAGCAGATCTCTCAGCTCAGCCATTTTGATGAAAACAATGCAGTGAAGTGACCAGGAATACTGCTAAAGGCAGGTTTTCTGCTCTGAAAGCAGAGGACTGTGGGGGTCGGCTCTGTGCTGGCTGGGTGTCGAGTAGAGATGCAGGGAAAATAACATCCCAGAGGGTACAAACTGATAATGTTTAATATGTTATGACAATATCTACAGTTTGTTTTAAACAAATGCTGAACATTTACTCTATCTGTCTATCTATCTATCTATCTATCTATCTATCTATCTATCTATCTATCTATCTATCCATCATCGTCTGTCTGTCTGTCTGTCTGTCTATCATTGTCTGTCTGTCTATCTATCATTGTCTGTCTGTCTATCTATCATCGTCTGTCTGTCTGTCTATCTATCTATTATCGTCTGTCTGTCTGTCTATCTATCATCGTCTGTCTGTCTGTCTATCTATCTATCATCGTCTGTCTGTCTGTCTGTCTATCTATCTATCTATCTATCTAGCATCGTCTGTCTGTCTGTCTGTCTATCTATCATTGTCTGTCTGTCTATCTATCATCGTCTGTCTATCTATCTATCATCGTCTGTCTATCTATCTATCATCGTCTGTCTATCTATCTATCATCGTCTGTCTATCTATCTATCATCGTCTGTCTATCTATCTATCATCGTCTGTCTATCTATCTATCATCGTCTGTCTATCTATCTATCATCGTCTGTCTATCTATCTATCATCGTCTGTCTATCTATCTATCATCGTCTGTCTATCTATCTATCATCGTCTGTCTATCTATCTATCATCGTCTGTCTATCTATCTATCATCGTCTGTCTATCTATCTATCATCGTCTGTCTATCTATCTATCATCGTCTGTCTATCTATCTATCATCGTCTGTCTATCTATCTATCATCGTCTGTCTATCTATCTATCATCGTCTGTCTATCTATCTATCATCGTCTGTCTATCTATCTATCATCGTCTGTCTGTCTGTCTGTCTATCTATCGTCTGTCTGTCTATCTATCTATCGTCTGTCTATCTATCATCGTCTGTCTGTCTATCATCGTGTCTATCTATCATCGTCTGTCTATCTATCTATCATCGTCTATCTATCATCGTCTGTCTATCATCGTCTGTCTGTCTGTCTGTCTATCATCGTCTGTCTGTCTTTCTATCATCGTCTATCTATCATCGTCTGTCTGTCTTTCTATCGTCTGTCTATCATCGTCTGTCTGTCTGTCTATCTGTCATCGTCTGTCTGTCTATCTATCGTCTGTCTGTCTATCTATCTATGTCTGTCTGTCTGTCTATCTATCTATCTATCTATCTATCTATCATCGTCTGTCTGTCTGTCTGTCTATCTATCGTCCGTCTATCGCTCAGTTGGATTTTGTCCTGCAGACACTACATTCGACATAATGGTTTGTTTGCGGGTGAAATTAGTAAGCTGTCTCTTTACATTTCCTGATAGCTGTAGCAGTCAGAGAGCAGGTCTTTCTGCACTCAGGGCAGCTGTACCCTGTCTCTTCTTGTTGATCCCAGTACTGCCTGATGGAGGCCGTCCACAGAGTCTTCAGAGCTGAGCGAATCTCCAGCATCTGTTATATTAGGACAGATTCAAAAAAGAAAGGTAGAGAAAACACTGTTGCTCAGATTCCTTTTGACACATGAGGAAAAAGAGCAGGAATGTTGCTGTGCTTGTTTTTAATACAGTTGAAAGAAGGAAAATATTGATAAGATTCATATACAGTACAGTAAAAACTCATTTTACTGGAAAGTATTTTATTCAGCCTACAGACAAATGAGTCATATCATTAAGCAAGTTTATTCAGTTGGGGGTCCACCAATTATTTTTTGAGGTAAAATCAAAATATGAATTACAAATAAAATATTAAGTATTTCAACCAAAGCTATAATTAAGAAGGTAATATTAGAAAAGAGTTTAGTGTAGATAACCAGCTAGAAATTATTCAGAACACCCTTGCATTAGCCATAATGCCCTATAGCATTGTGGATATAGGGCATTAAAAAAAAATCTAGTGAGCTGCCTTCTGCTTACTCAAAATCTATTATATATTATGATGCACCTTCCTTATGGTTTTACAACAAAATAATACACAGATTCAATATTCATACCACACATAAAAGCCTGACTAAATGAAACAATTTGACAGATCAGAGATGTGCTGGGCTGATGAAGGCTGAATTTAGTGACTAAAAAAAACACACAACCTCTAAAACAAGATCTTTGTTTAATTATACTCAACTGATTCAGAATATACAGAGCATTATGTTGAGCCTTTCTGACACTACATCGATAAAGATAAAAAACATGATAGAATGACAAAGGAACTCTAAAATGAGTATAAAAGTATAAAAAAACAAAACAAAACAAAAAATCCCACAAATAACTGTTAACAGAAATACTGCATAAAAATGAAAATAAAACGATTAGGTAATCTTTTACAATCAGTTTTAGTATTTAGATCCTGATTTACATTGATTGCTATTTGATTTACATTTCTAGGAAGGAAATATATAAAAAATATTATTTGTGGTCTTATGTTATTCTCAAGGTCAGGATTTGACTTGATCTTGACTAATTGCAGGTACTCCTTCAATCCCATGAGCCACCAGTGCCTCACACAAGCGAGTAAGGTATGTAGAGTCTGGATATCCTTTGCTGCACACAAACAAATATTTCACGTTCACACAAAAAGTTGAATTGGATATTTTAAATATCAAATTAATTCATTCTGAGAAATTAATTCTTTCTCCCAGTGCACACTTATTAAATATGATAAATAAACTAAATATCGATTTATCTTTCAGGCCTACAGTTTTTTAAAAACATTTTTAAAACTTGCTTACAAGGTTTTCCCTAGTAAAAAAAACTGTCAATTTATTTTTTTAAATTTTTTATTTCATACTAAGTATACTTCAAATCCATTAACATATTTATTGGCATATCACTTAAGACTTAATGATATAAAATTATAATTAAACTTTATTTGGAGTATTTCTTTAGTGCACAATGCACATTTCTTAATATTATGCCTAAAATGTGTTTTAATATCACTATTAATAAGGATATATATATGCAAATGTTCCACTTTAGCACAATCAAAGATACTTATGTAGTATAGTCTTATAGTTAATACTAACTAAAGTATAGACTTTAGTTAGACCTCAGCACTACTTCTGCACAATTAAAGTGCATTAAGGCCAAAATGAGATGTTCCAATTTAGCAGACTTTAAGTATACCAGTTTAGTATACCAAAAGTACAACTGCAGGGTATTTTATTAAGCACATAAATATGTAAATGTATCTGTAGTATACTTAGCACAATTTCTTTTTTATTTCAAATACATTTTAGTATATTTTTCTTCACTAAGGTTGTCATGCCACTATTTAGATTTTGTTAAGAAAATTACAGTTAAAAGTCGGCTAAAATTAAAGTTCTATAAATCTATTTGAATTTAATTCAACTTCCTCATCAAATGCAAATTATTATGATTCCTTTTCTGTTAACCTTAATTTGAATGTAGAAATGTAACTGGAATTTGACAAAATTAAAATAAAAGCATGACACCTCAGCTAGTAATGTTTGAAGGATTAGTTCACTTCCAGAATGAAAATTTCCTGATAACTTACTCACTGCCATCATGTCATCCAAGATGTTCATGTCTTTCTTTCTTCAGTCGAAAAGAAATTAAGATTTTTGAGGAAAACATTCCAGGATTTTTCTCCATATAATGGACTTCAATGGGACCGGGTTGAACGTGTTATAAACGGCTTGAAGGTCCAAATTGCAGTTTCAGGGCAGTTTCAAATGGCTCTAAGGGTCTTATCTAGCAAAACAATCAGTCATTTTCTAAAAATGTTTTAAATGTATATACTTTGTAACCACAAATGCGCGTCTTCCACTAGCTCGATTTCACGCATTACGTAGTCACGTTGGAAAGGTTACACATGACGTAGGTGACGTAAGGTCCTTCCAACTTGACTACGTAATGCGTGAAATCGAGCTAGTGGAAGACGCGCATTTGTGGTTACAAAATATATACATTTGTATTTTTTTTTAGAAAATGACATTCTTTTGCTAGATAAGACCCTTATTCCTCGGCTGGGATCATGTAGAGCCCTTTGAAGCTGCACTGAAACTGCAGTTT